ATTTTTTTTTTTTTAATTTATTTATTTTTTTCCCTAGAAAGGAGAAGCCAGCGTGCTTGCCGGGAATCTGGCCATGTTCTGAGGGAAGCCTCCAGGACTCAGCTTGGATCCAGATACCGCAGGTGTGCGTGAAGAAATTGCCCTCCTTGCGTGCCCCGTGAAGCTTTTGGTAAGGTGGCTGTGCCTCTGAGTATGTAGCGCTGCACGACTTTAAAAGTATGCAAGAGTCTCTGATAAATACTTGAAAGTGAACCTTGCCTGTTCCATGGAGGTGGGTGGCAGTGTTTGGTTCAAAGTGTTTCTCCAGCTGACAAGGCCTCTGTGGCCTTTTGGCCCTGGTGAAACCCATAGGAAGCCTTCACGACCAAGAAGTCATGCAGCCCACATCACCTGCTTAATCTTTGTATACTGAATCACAAAGCTCTTTGGAAGTTGTGTGAATTTGCTGCTACATCAAAGGAGCAAAGTCCTGTTATAGCTCATTTCCGCTTAAAAGTATCTGGTGCCGCTTCTGGCTTTTTACTTGCTTTTAGCAAGCTAAAGATTCCAAATGTGGAAACTCGTATGGTGTGTGTCTAGTTTTTGCTCTGGAAACAGATTGTTTGGGAAATAAGAGTGTGAGATTGGTCTGTCTGAAGCTGTCTATTTCCACCTTGGAACTCTTAGTCCAAAATATTTATATTTTTCAATGAAAATTTGTTCCTAAACTGAACATTTTCTTTACTGCTTCTGTTTGTTTACATCAGATCAAAACAATATGTATTTATTTAAGGTGTCTACACATTTGTTACTTTAGTATTTACTGCCTGAAACTTAAGCAACCTAGAGGCTATGTGGTCAGTGAGCTACTAGGGCTCAGCTTTTGGGTGGTAATCAGTGATAATTTGATCACTTAGAATTTTGTGGCCGAATATGGCTGAAAATAGACTAGGCACTGCTAAAGACTTACCTGTTAGAAAGCTTAGAGCATGACTCTTTTTCCTTGTCCCCCTTTCCTTAATTTCCAAATTATTTGGTGGAGGAGAGAAAGGTGAGAAGCTGGTGGCCTTAGTTACCGCCTCCTTTTCTTGGATGATGTGGTTCAGATGAAGCTCTGCCTTCCCACCGGAGAGATGTGGTGGTTTGGTCGGGGAAGTTGGTGCTTCTGGAATGGGTATGTGTTCAGATTGCAGTTGGCCAGAGGTCCTTTGATTAAAAAGTTTTTATCAAAAAAGGCAGTTGTGGCAGACCTAAAGGCAGGTGCTTCCTTTGTCAGCTTGGAGTCAGAGATTTCAAACTCGTTCTGTATGTAAATGCTGAAATAATATGGATATTGGCTGTTGTAGGATGGATGTCTCTTTCTACTCTGTAGAAAATTCCTGGCTCATGTAAAATTGGAGTGGGAAAAGGCTTTCCTGTTCAGCTCCAGCAATGATGGTTTGCCATTGAGGCTGGAACACCTTTGCATATAGCCTGCCTCTGTTTGTTATTCTGAATGAAAACCTGGGAAAAAGAAGGAAAAAATGGTGAAGAAAGGATAGCGGTAAGGGGAATGAGTGGCCAGCCAAAGAGAGGGACCTTGTAACTTCTTGGTAATGTACAAGAAGTTGCTGTGGAAATACAGCCCTGAGGAGGGGGAGTTGGCATGCAAAGAGAATATAACAAAAATGGCAAAGAAGAGGGCCCAAAGTACGCACAATTGTCTGGCTATTACTGCTAAGTTATTTACTTTATTTCTGTACTGTGGAGGAAGAATTTTTCCTTATCTTGCCAGTGACAGCTAATGAAATTGAAGATGTGGACTTTGATTCATGTAAATGTGATTATGGTCTCTGTTCAGTATATGAACAAACACATTTTATGTGTAGTGCTATTTCCCTCCTCACATGCACATGAGTAAGTTATGTAAAATTAAATGTTGTTATGGGAATGCTATTGGAGAAAGTGTGTTTCATTATACAAGAGGTCGCTTGCTGCACTTTTGTTTCCCTTTTCTGAAAGTTACACAATTTCCATTTGATTATTGATAAAAATAATTCTCTTCAGTTTTGATTTGATGCAGGATGACTGGAAGATTTTACCGTTAATTACAGTAACCTTTTCAGTCTAAACCACTTTTTTTCCCAACTTATCTGTTTTTTTCTAATTCAAATTAATTAAGATTGAAAGGTAGCATATTCTAAATGTCAGTGAAAATGCTGTGCCTTAAATTACACAAGAGTTAAGTATTTGTCAACAATATGTTTACAAAGGAGTAAGAGCTTTAGATAAAAGGCAGTGAGTTCTGCCACAAATAACTTCTGCTTTTAACAATGATAATACGTAGATATATTAAACTTATTTCTTTCTGAATCATGTTGTTTTATCTGGTGGTACATGTAATTGTATTTATTGTACTGCTGTGGTTGCAGTTCACAAGAAGGCTGTTCTGCTTTAGAGATGTCTAAGAAATGAATGTTGTCTCATTCATACAAATTTAATGTTTTCCTACCTGTAGCAATTTTCTTTTTAAAGTAGCCTTCCTTTTCTAATTAAAGATATGTTCTCCCTCCATCCCCTACTGGGTTGCGGCAATTATATGCAACGCTTAATCATTTACCTTCTAAAATTATTGCAAGATTGTTAATCCCATCGATAATTTAAGGATTTACGACTGTTTAGTCAAATAGCACGGTGAACAAGTGTCAAAGACTTGCATAAAGGCGTTTCTGCCTCTCAGACCAGTATTTGATGAAAACATTGACCTGCTATTTTTTGCGTTGTATCTTGACTGACCAATAAGCTTTCTATTATTAGTAGTTGGTGTGGTTTCTAGTCAGCCTGGTGACTTCTCTGTCTTCCATTATGTATTAGAAGTTTGTTTTCTGGAGTAGAAATGGAAGGATGGACTGGAAGTAAAAAGGAAGATGTTATTTATTTAAAGTTAATTTAAATATTGTACTACCAAATTAGTTGGAAATGTGAATGCATTTTTTATCTAAGCTGCAGTCTTATGCTGCACCCTACAGCCTGTTTCTTTTAATCGTGAGTGTTTTGTGTAATTTCAAGTTTCCCAGGTTATGTACTTGTGTGAGTCACATTTTTTTTGTCTTAATGTGAATTTTTTCTGTAGCTTGACATTGCTCCCTGCTGCTGCATTTCATTCTTTGTAAAAATTAAGAGTAAGATGATGTGGTCTGCCAGTGAGACATGACTGTTGGAATTAGAATTCCATTTTGTGTAAAAGGGCCCAATAATTGCCTTATTTTCTTAGAAATCAGTTGAGAAACAAACTCAATATTTCTGGAAAATCACGATTTTTTGTATTTTCTAGTAAAGCACTCTTTTAGCAATGTATTTGACACTCTTTAAGTGTAAGAGTTTCTGCTATTTTTTACTTAGGTCTGTTTAGTTGTATGCACATCATCCCATGTGGTCACGCATGATTATAAAGTGCTTTCAGAAAGGGTAGCGGCTGGGTCTGCGAGCAGCATCAAGTACGAGTCTGTTTGACGCAACATATGCCATAAAAGAATTGCCATGTTTATCACCCCCCGCCCCATTTTTAGCCATGGCTGAATGACACCTTTCCAATGAATGAATGAAGATGACTCAATCCCTCCAAATGAACGAAGTAAATGGAAAAGTAAGGTTGTGGGTTTTATGGTGCTATGTTTTGTTTTCTTTTGTTTGTTTTTCCCCTGCAATTGGTTGTGATTCAGTGGTTTAGACTGCAAGCTCTTTTTCATAGAGATATGCTTGTAAGGTACTGAACATCTTGCTGATATCAAATCTTTGAATAAGACTTAGTTTTTTGTTTTCTCCCTTTGTAGAATCATGGCAAGTCCGAGAACAAGGAAAGTTCTCAAGGAAGTCAGAGCACAAGATGAGAACAATGTGAGAAAATTATAATCTTCTTTAGATTAGTTTTGTAGAATTGAATTTTCTTTTTACCTACTCCAGATGCATATTGCGGTCTACTACAGCTATTGTCTTGATAGCACTAGTATGACTAACTAACGGTAACGTATAAATTTGGGTATCTCGTATTTGTGTTAGTTCAGTAGGTTTTATTCCTGTATGTATTATTATACATGACTGCATATTTGGCATAAGTCTTTCAGAAGTTCTAGTAATGCTGTAACCGCTGGAGTCTGGGGAACATGTGATGTCTTGGGCATAGCTTAACTAGGATGATTTATTTCAAATGGCTTGATTATACGCTACCTTAAATGTGATAGCCGATGGACAGGTTCAGTTTTATTTATATCAATGCATTAAACCTTGCATGGTGATTCCAGTCATAAGAACTTAAGTTATTGCACTGTATGAGCGATAAAGCTATTTGTAAGAAAAACCTCTGTTTAGATCTGCTATCATTTACTGCCAAACTGTAGTATGACTGAATAAATGTTCCGCAGTTTAAATGTTGCACCTTTCTTTTGCCAAGGAACCCTCAAGAATTCAGTTTGGTTACTTTCTCCTCCTTCAAGACAGTATGGAAATCAAATCAAGTTGAATTCTTTGCTCATTAATTTCAGTTTGCTCATCTGTATTTCCTCACTGGTTTTTGGTAGTTGCTACAGTAATTTTTATAATCCAAGTCAGGCGAGTTAATGAGTATTTCTTTCCATGCAGCATAAACAAATATTTGAAGGAAGCTTATGCTGTCAGGGAAGGTGTTTACAAACACTGAGAACTCTCCCTTCTGAAATTTATTTTCTGTGTGTAACATTTTCATGGTTTGACTTTTTGAGCTGTAATGTGAAAACTTCATGTGGACAAGTGATGGCTGAGTGTTAGAGATAATTGTTTTTCTCTCGCAGGTCTGTTTTGAATGTGGTGCATTTAACCCCCAGTGGGTGAGCGTGACGTACGGAATTTGGATCTGTCTCGAGTGCTCAGGAAAACACCGAGGCTTGGGAGTTCACCTCAGGTCAGTCTTTCAAGTAGATGATGGACAGAGTTGGGTTACCTCAGGGTGCATTATAGCTGTGAACCGAATGTATTGTTTCAGAAGGGTATAGAATGTCTCAAATCCAACATTTCACTGGCAGTTTTGCTTCATGCTCCTTTCCAAAGCGAGCTATAGTCTCTGCACCTTGTCTGTAATTAGCTGGGGTGTGTGCTGCGCCAGTGCAGCTGTGTTATGCCCAGTTCTAGAAAGCAATGTCTCTAGCTACATCTTGAGGTTGTGTTCTGGTGCTTGGTAATACTGCACTAGTTCTTGTACTCCATTCTTTTAATCTCATATAATCTTTATCAATTAAAGCTGAAGTAGTGCTAGAGCAGCCTGAGAGTTGAGCGAAAAACCATCACAGTATGCTTACAGAATGTTTCTGTAGTGTATGCAAGTGTATAAAACAGTTTTATTCTATTCAGGAGATTTTTTAAAATTTTTTTTTTTGGTAATATAAATTATAGTTTTTGTTTTTTCCAAGAAACATACTCAACTGATAGGGAAATCTGTGGAATAAGAACTGTTATGTGTTTTGGGGACTCACAGTGTGTGTAGATATAATAGAGGCAGAGCATGGAATAGTTACTCAAATGAGAAAGGGAGACAAAAGTCCAGGAGGGAAATCACCAAAGCAAGGAGGCCATTCAGAAGTACGTGCTTTGCTTTTCAAAGGGTGATTTGAAGCTCATTAGTGAGTAGAAATTGCATAGGAAATGAAAGTTTGGAACTATTCCATGTGTTACCTGAAAGAAAAAAAATGAAATTACTGAGATGAGGATATGATGAAGGGTATTTCTTTAGGGACATAAAGAAAGAAATCAGTCAAGATAGAAGTTTTAAAGAGCCTTCGTGAGGATGATGTCTCACTTCCACCCCCACCCCGTGACCCTGTATTTAACAACAGGGCACTGTTTGGGGTTTTAGTGGATTTTTTTTTGTTTGTTTGAGGGTTGTGGTTTTGTGTTTTGTTGTTTTTTTTGTTTTTTTTTTTAATATAGTTTAATGAGTAGTAGCAAGAATTTATAGTTCAAAGCAGAGTTGAGGTGCTAACTGCAGTCAAAATGCCCTAGGCTGAGGTCGGGTTATAGGGTAGGCTATTTTAAGCAGTTGAGCTGTCAGTACTTGATGATCATTATGAGCAGAAGCATGGAGTGGGACAGGAGGTGTCCTCACAGGTCACTTAAGTGTAACTGTGAAAACAGACAGGAAAAGAAAATTGCAGAGTGAAGAAGTATGGGAAAAGTTTCTTTTATATAATGGGTTAGATTAATTTCTGGACTTGAAGAAAGCTGCTTTTTCTGTCACTTGCGTTCTGTTGGCTTCTCCTTTAAGTGCCAATAAATGGCATGATTTTAGCTTGCCATTTGTGAGGATCTGACCACCTTCTTACGATGATCTATTTTTCTGTACTTGGAGAGTGTTCTCTAACATGTTTATACTCCCAACTTTTGAGATAGGTTGTAATAAGCTTTTTTTTGTCCCTGCTGATACAGCAGGAAATTACAACAAGCTGTGGTTTTAATATTTTTTTAAAAACTGCTTTTCAGTTTTGTACGTTCTGTAACCATGGACAAATGGAAGGATATTGAGCTGGAGAAAATGAAGGCTGGAGGTAATAGCAAATTTCGAGAGTTCTTGGAGTCTCAAGATGACTATGATCCCTGCTGGTCAATGCAAGAGAAGTACAACAGCAAAGCTGCAGCCCTTTTTAGAGATCAAGTAAGTTCGATTGTGTGTATGTCCCCTCATCCCCTACTATCTGAAAATATCAAAGTACTTTGTAAGCCCTTGTTTTTGAAGGTGGGGGGGAGGGAAAGTAACAAGCTTGTGAACTTCTGCAGTGGTTCTTGAAAGGGATAAGTCTTGGAGTGCGTCTTCCTGACTCTTTTCCTTTAGAAACCTTCTTTTCTGCATTTAGCTGAGATGGCTCAGATTTTCACTGCTGGAATTTGTTGCAACTAGTTAGTGGAGCTGTCCTGATCCACAGTAGGCAGTTTACTACTTCAGCAGTACAGTTTTATCCGAAGTGATTGTTGATGAATCTTTTGTGTGTGTAGTAACAAAATGGTAAATTAATTTGCCAAACACTGGCAGGTCTATAAACAAATAAACCAGTAGTTGTAATGGCATTATTGTTTCATGGAGGTTTGGAGTTTCCAAAAATGAAATGACAAACAACTTGAACTCGTGAACTTGGAGATTTACAAAGATAGTGTACTTTTATGCTGATCCTGCCACGGAAGTAGTAAGAAGGTATGTTCTGTGTTTTCTGGGATATTCATGCAGCTTTGAAGTTTGTGTGTGTTGTCTCTTTGTATCTTTAGAAGTTGCTAGGAATAGGAGAGAGTTGGCTAATGTGGCGTATCTTGATGAAAGCGAAGAATTCACAAGTTCTGTGCTGTAGAGCTTTTGGTATTTGAATCGGGGAACTATGGAGTTTCCGTGGCAAGGCCTTTGGAAATTTTATATTAACTTGCTGAAGTTGTGACTTGGATTGGAGGAGCAGTATGGAGTTAAGAGATGAAGTTCAGGTCCTTTGTTTGAAGGAGGCAGAGAGAACATTTAAATTCTGTTCAAGTGTGTTAGCCACCCTATGCTAGAGCATAAATCCACCTCTTTCTATTCCTCCATTATTCTGTGATGAGTGCTTACATCTCCTTATTAATGTAGTCTTTCCTCTTCGAACCAAATTTGCCTGTTTGAAGAAGTTGCCTAAAATCAGTTGCCTGAAGTAAAATCAGTGTTCAGTTCAACATTACTAGCTTGAGATTGAGGAAAAAAATTGTTTTCTTGGTGAAAACAAATTAATAGAGCTATGCAACTGGCAGCAAATTGGAAAAATTACTTGTCCTCACTTTACAAGGCCAGTGTATAACTTGCATGAGAACTTTGACCTAGCATTCTTGATTATTTTCCTACCTCTTCTAGGTTGCTACAGTAGCTGAAGGCAAGGAGTGGTCCATTGAAACTTCTCCTGCCAGGAACTGGACCCCACCTCAGCCTAAAATGTCTCTCTCTTCCACTCATCGGTATGTGTTCTTGTTATCTAACGTTGATATAGCTACAGCAGGATCAAAACCTGATGTTTGAATGTCTGCTGGTTTTATTCTGTCGATGGTGTGTATGAACAAGCATTTCTTTTGCTGAAGTTAAGGAATATGAGATAGCGGGACTTTAATTTCTATAATAATTGCCACCTCCTCCGCCTGAACCTTAAACCGTGGCAGAGAGAAACCATGCTGTTTTTATCTTGACTTGTAATGCGCCTGAGGCTAGTTGTGGTGATCACATGTAGTGTGTTGCAGCTTTGCCGTAACCACAGTGCTGTTCCAGTTCGTGATTGAATGCCAGGGAAGAAGCAGCAGACTTTTTTCTTACGGTGCTAATTACTAACTGGAGCATCAAAGCTGGACTGCAGCAGTTTCCTTTTCTGCTTTTGCATGTAGTGTTTGTTATTCTTTCCACTAAAGAAAGAAGTTAACTGAAAAAGCAGCTGTCTATCAAGCGAACAAGTGCTTCATGCCTGGCTGTCGTCCACCAAGTTCAGGGGCTAGCTGTAGTATGAGTAACATTGTCTGTGTCTGGGTCTGCTGTTGCTGTATTCATTCAATACTCCAGTGGCTTTTAGTGGTTGCATTAGAGATCCCTACTTGATAGACAAATAATCAATTTTGCACCTGTATTATGATGATATATGTTCAGCTGCAAGCTGCACTGCTGAGCTAGTGGTTTTTGCTTTATGCAGTTTGATTCTTAAATCTTTCATTTCAGTAGTTCTGCTGGACAATCTCAGACTGCAACTGCCTCTTCTGACAAGGCTTTTGAAGACTGGTTAAATGATGATGTCAGCTCCTACCAAGGGTAATGCATTATTTATTAACTTTTTGAGTGCCTGGCCCTCTAGCATAACAAAGACTCGGATGTTATGCTACAGCTACACAACTGTGATCCTGATTCACTAGTTAACAGTTACATCTTGTTTACTGTTAAAAATATGTTAATAGTATATGATAAAGGATAAGACAAATCTGCAAAAAAAAAAACCTGCCTCTTCAAACATTTTTGTTATACAAATGCATTAATAGCTTTGAAGAAAGAGCTTGTAACTCAAAATCCTACTGCGGTGGACTCCAAACTAGGGAATTTGTAGTGGATATAGTATCTCATAGTGATTTGAGTTAAAAAGGAGTATTTATAAAGCTAACACTGTTTTCTTCTTTCTTTCCTTTTCCTATTTTTATGTATCACATTATTAGGATTTACTCAGACTTCTGATATCGGTGATCTGTTAAACCTAGAGAATCATTAAGACCACATTAGCTTGCATAGGGGACCCTTTAATTTGCAAGGATTTCTCAGTTCATCCTTGTTGGTGTTCTGTCTTTATAAAGTGAGGGGGTTTGTATTTTGGGTGCTAGGTGCTTTAGGACTCTGTTTCCAGGTGCATTCTAAGGTCTGTTAAACAATTGTCGTTCTTTCATGCTTTTCAGCTTTAGTTTAATAGTTTTAATGAATGCATGCTGATACAGATGCTATTTATTCATTTTCTTATAGTAGTGGCCAAGAGAACCGCTACGTGGGGTTTGGAAACACAGTAAACCCTCCAAAAAAAGAGGATGACTTCCTGAATAATGCTATGTCTTCATTGTACTCGGTAAGGAATTGCTTGAAGCTTTCTGTGACCTGAATTACTATTTTCTTCTATTTTATCCACTGTTTTGGGAGAATATAAATGGAGAAGAGAAACTAAGACTGCAGGTAGATACAGAGAGATGTAAAGTATTGGTTGTATTCTCAAGGACTGAAGAAGATACTGGTGGACTTTAAAAGGCAAAACAAAGGGACAAACTTGAGCAAAACTTAGGAATTATGTCTGGTATCAGTTCATAGAAATAAGGAAATGAGGATATAGCAATGCTTTAAGAGCTAGTACTCAGGAGGGCTTGGAAGAAAAAAAAAAGTAATTACCTGTTGGGAATAGCAGTTTGGTAACGCTCTAAATAGATTAGCGGTATTAGGTATGTTCAGCGGAAAACAGCTGAAATGTGTGTGTACATGGTAGCCAGAAGCCCTGAGCAGTGATGAAAACATTTGAAATACTTGTGACAGGGTGTGAAGAGATAACAGCATATGATTGAACAGTTGTTATGATTAAAGTAGAGATAGTGAAAGATGCATTGTTGAAGGAAAATGGGAATAAAGTCAGAGGCAGTCAGGGCCATATTGGTGCTTTGATAGGCTGCAAAGTAACAGTGCTGAACAATATTTGGAATTTTGAAATACGGTAAGGTTTTCCACCAGGGTTGGTGGCCAGTAGTCTTCTGTAGAACCTCGTCAGTCTAAATATCCACACCAGGTCCCATTGTTTGTTTGGTTTGTTTTAAAAAAACAAACAATAATTTCACTAGAACATAATAGAAAAGGGTAATGCCTGAGCCTTTGAACAGTATTCCAGGTGATCCTACAGGGTGCTTAGTACAGGTCTGCTGAATATTTTCTAAGTATGTCATAGATCGTAGGCTAGAGAGTTCAGATTAGAAATGACATCTGTAATGTATTGCAGATGTGCTAATGCAGCAAAGGAGAGATGAGACTGTGTTGTCCAAGTTACTGTCAACCATTATTTGAATACATGATCTCATTGAAACCTATGATTAAAATGCCCTCTTGTGACCACAGGTACATACTACAGTGCAGTTTTAAGTCGTTTATTATAGTAAGACTGAATATTTGCATGTGTATTCATCCCGGTGAGGAAATAAATTTTCCTTCCACTGCATCTGATTGTTTTTCCCCACACATGCTACATTTACGTATATACGTAATTTTCTGCTGTTACCTATCAGAAGGAGCATTTTCAGTAGAATTCACACCGACTACACTGTCCAACTTGTTCTGTAGAGAACAGATGTAATTGCAGTCTAAGTTTGTCTTGAGTTCCTTGACACTCTGCTTAACATAAAAACTACGAGACACATCACTTTGCCTTTTTTGCAATTGATGACATAATTATCTTTCACTGTTTCAGCATAGGACAAGAAGAGCAGTTAATGAAGAGACTTCAAAAGGCTAAGCAAAAAATATATTTTTTTTTTTTTTTGCTGCTTTTTCAAAAGACATTCCCTCAACCTAAACATGTGGTGTAGTGAAATTAAATAGAAGGGGTAATGAGAAAAAAATTCTACTATTTACGACCTTTGTATGGAAATCTACCCAAAATGTAACATGTTGCCAAAAACTCCACGCTTTAAACAAAACATCTACGCTTTGTTGGAAATCAGACTGATAAATAGCAGTGGTAGACATGGATATTAACCTTGCATTCGTAGCGCTGTGTTTAAAAGATTCTGTAGCACAGCTACTACTAGGTGGTGATGATCTGCAAAGAAAAAAACTTACCTGTTTCTTCATTCATTATTATATACAAGGAGAACCAGAGACATGTTAAAGTTTGTTTCTGTTTTTTATCCATTCAAGTATGGTGGGGTTTTTTCCACTTGTTTTACTGGGCAGATTCTGGATGAATGAGTTACTAACAAGAACTAAATCTAAACAGTTGAGAAGTGACTTTTAATGATTTTGTGGAAAAAAACCCACACACTAGAATCACTCTCCTGCTCCACTTTTTTTTAGCTGGTTTCTTAATCTGTATCTGACAATCAGTAGTTAGATGAAACCTTTTCTGATTCATTAGAGAAAAGCCTTTTAAGAAATGGCGTATGGTTTTCAGATCTGCCAAGAACCAATGAGGCAATATAAAGCTCTGTTTCTTTTGTTTTTAGAGATAAAATTTGCAGGAAACAAACAGGTTAAAGCTTTATTATGAAATGAAAACAACACTGATTTTTGTTTTCTCTACAGCTTTTTCCAGGCATACATTTTAGGTGCTCATCAATTTTTTTTCTTTGTCCCCTCCCCATCCAGTGCTTGCTTGTTGAAGAGCCACTCTGTTTACTGAGGTTTTAATGTCTTCTTTTGGTCTCCTGCTTTTCGGGGGGTGCGAGGAATTTTTTTTTTCATGTAGACATTTTTAGTAGGATAACATCTGAAGCATTCGAGTTTGTTCAAATTGCAACCATTTTAACACAAATAATGGAAGTTCATCACTATATTACAGTTACATGAGAGACTGTAATTTTTGCTCTTGCTAACGAGTAGTTCTTAGGACTACAAGATAAGCTGTATTGGAGAACATTTTGATTTAATTTAACATCTAATACTGGACACTTAGTTATTCAGTAGTATTATTCACACGTAGCTTACAACATCTCACTTTCTTTAAAGGGGTGGAGCAGTTTTACGACTGGAGCAAGCAAAATTGCCTCAGCTGCTAAAGAGGGTGTAAGTAGACAATGTTTTTCAGTGTAATTCTTGTAAACTCAGGGATTCTGTTAGTGTTCTAATAGTGAGGTATCTTTAAAAGTATTACCAAGACAAACTAAGTTCTGCTCTTTGTGTATCTTTGCCTATGGCATATAAAATAGATGCATATTGAATGCAGATCTCTGTGTTAACTATTTTTCATGTTTCTGAATGGATGTTTTTCTAAATTTGTCCACTGGATGTAAGCATCAAGAAAGAACTCAACAAAATTTTTTATTATAAAGCAGAAATTTCAGTCTATGCCAAGTAAGGCCAAGTTGCATTCTTTAGCAGGAATTTAATACCAAGTTACAAATGGCCGATGATTTTGTATTTTTTCCTTCCTTTGACTTTTCTCTAACTACAGCATTTTGGTCAGTTTAAATAGAAAACTTGTTGGACAGAGGTTGTGCCCGGAGGGACGCTTTGGGAAGAACTGAGGCATGATCTTCACACTCTGCATGTTCTGCAAATTTGCCACTTAGGTGACAATCATTCAACTAACTGTAGACTAAAACCAGAAGAAATAAAAATTTATTATGTTTTACATAGATGATGGCGGAAAGAGATTAAATATTTTTGTGAAAAGAATGCATTACAACATTTTTCAGTTTTGCTTAGTATTCTTCCAAACTTTTATGACTGTAACCATTATCTCTTAAGTTTAAACAGTTTATGAGCATAACGGTTGTCTCTTACTTTGGGTGACGTTATGAGAGACACAAATGTTGAGACTCATTGCGTTGGCCCACCAAGTTCTAGTCTGTATTGAAGACCCTTTCTTCCCTCTGTTGTGAGTTGAGGAAGACTGATGCTTCCGCAGAGCAATCGGTAACGTCAGAGGTGGTGATATGGATATTCTCTGTTCACTCTGAAATTCTGGCAAAGATCCATTCATCTTAGAGAGGATCATGCAGCATTTCTAAATATGTGTATTTAAAAATCAAAGGTTTTATTCCTAGTAAACTTTAATGTATGTGCTTCTTTTCACAGGCTACCAGATTTGGATCTCAAGCAAGTCAAAAGGTGATTATAGATGTAGCTCTATTTTACTGACTGTAGCTGTCTTTAAATGTCATGTATTTGCCTGCACCAATTGATTTAGACTCGACCATCAACAGACCAGTGTGTTTTTCCTTTGTAGTGCACGGTAGTTTTTAGGTTCTAGCTTTTATTTCCATGGGAATTGCAGTCAACTGCAGTGATCAAATTAAGCAAGGAATAGACAGTGATACTCTGCTGTGTGTAACTGTCGGGTGTATTGGAGAGTCAGTAGAATGAAATGCTTTAATTCATGCTTGCAAACTTAAAATACTCTTATTTTTGTGAACCTTAAGTGTTTTCTATCGAAGTAATTTTCTTGGTGATATGACACAAGCCATCTTTCCATTGCTAAAGCCTAATAAGGTATTACAAATGTGAACCGCTTAATATTGTTATTAAATTAACTTGCTTGTGTGTATTTAAAAAAGTAGCTATTACAAAAGCATTTTCTCTTTCAAACTAGGATTAAAACAGCGACAGTCAGACCTGAATTACACAGAGCTCTGACATAAGCGAGATCTGCTTGCATGGAAAAGTTTTAAATGCAAATGTAAAAACGTGTAAAAGAATAGGATTCTTAATGTGCCAAAGTTCCGCGTGAGAGACGGCTTATATATATTAACATATGGTATAGAGAGTTTGTGAACTATAACTCTTCTTGTACGTATAGCATTAGCCTGGCATGCTTTCTGATATGCGTAGGATGCTATTGCTCAAAACAAATGCCAAACTGCAGGTGTTGGCGTTCACACAGATGTATGCAGTTGGATATTGATACTCCAAATAGCAAGCCAAACTTGTGCATGTTTTGCAACAGAAACATCTTGTTAAAGCACCCAAACTTGATACTTAGAAGCTTTGAAGTATTTGCTGCTTGGCTTATGTAAGAAAAACTAAGTGTTCTACAAATCTTCCTCTTTCAGTCCTTCCAACAATTTCCCTTTTAGAAAACTGTTCTTTCTTTAGTATTATTAGCAAGTGTAAATATAATATTAAGTGTAAAAGCCCATCACATCTACTGACAAGGACCACAGCAACACAGTGCTCTAGAGTCTAAGCTGTGTTACTGAAGCTTAAATTTTGTTCCTGAAACATCTGATCCTTTGCTATGTAGAACAGACTTAGTATCTTTTTGTTGTAATATGTTGTTTAAAAGTATATTTGCTGTCCAGTGACCAAAAATATTCCCTGTTTGTCTTGTCAGTAGATGTTAAAAGTTGGAAAACATTCATGCTACTTAACTTGCCTGAAAAAATGCTGCCAATTTTTTGCTAAAAGCTGCTTCTACCTTCCTTGCTTTTTCTCTTTTGCTGTCTGGGTAAAGTTTTGGGGCTACAAGCAGCAGCCAGAGCCGGTAACACCCTCACATATCTTCTTGTGCATGGACTCCTTGTCACTGTTCGTGCTGAATATGTGCATTTGCTCTTGAGCTGTCTTTTCTTTTTTTGCCTTAAGTCAAATCTGTTTAGAATAACGTTATGTGTTTCATACGGTAATATTTCTTCAAACCTACTTAAAATAGATTAGATTGGATAGAGATATCCAAGCTCTACACTGTCAGAAAATGTACTGTACTTTTGTCCACTCTCTTCATAAACACAGATGATTTTAGGATTTCCGTTTGCATGTCTGATCCAGGAATGCGGTATACCAGGAACTACCCTGGGGTGTTGTTTGAAGGCAGGTTATTTAATAAATGCCCCATTATGCAGTGTTTGTAATGGTGGTTAAGATGGTCTCCTAAATTCAGCAATAGTAAAGATTGAGAAGCAATTGTACCCAAATCTTTCCGTATTTACGAAATTATGTAGTTGAGTAAATGGGATAATATGAGAATTCTTCCTGATTCTAGCAACAACTGCACTTAGCATACCTGAAATGTCAGTCTTAGTGTATTACACTTTTTATTATATAACATAAACAGTTTGACAGGTGTAATAGACTCTGAAGGATTTTTTTCAAAGATGAAAAATCCCCTTTCTTGTTCATCCTAAACACTTCCTAGCCTCACTTCCAATGGAAGCAAGCCTTATGTGACTTACATTCAAGTTTTACTAGGTGGAAACAGGGTTACCTTTTGCCTTTGTCTTCTCAAATAACTTTTGAACTGGTGAGGAGTAGAAGTATTGGAGATAATGGTGGTTGGGTAGAGGGGAGGTCCTGGTAGTACTGCGGCTAAGGGAAAGGCTTTTTAGACACCTGGGAGTCTATGGAGGAAAGATGCTTAAGGTATTCCATCCCCAGGAAGAACATGAATGAAGGCTCATACCCTAACCATATTAGTGTAAGATATAAACCCTTCGGAAATGAAACTTCATTAGTTTCTGCTAATGGTTAGGAATAATGTTTGTCTCGCAAGCAAATTGGCCCTTTTGGATTAATTGGGCTAATTCAGAAGGTAATCAATATAATACAGCAATTCTGAAGAAAAGTTTAAATCAATCAACGGCTTATTATGTTAGTAGCGAAAGGAATGATTTCACATGAAACACTTGCAAGCCCTGCTGTCTGTGTCAATATTGTCTTATGAAAGTAATTTTGTGACTTATACTGTGGGCTTACATTTTTGTAAGATGCCTCTGAAGTACAATATCCTTATGCATCTTGTTCTGGATTGCAATAGATTTCTGAAATTCATTGTTTTCTCTCCCTGCAAACCTGGCGCTGTAAAAAAGATTACAGAAATCTTCTTTCACAGCTTTGCTTCTTGTGTATTGCTTAGAAACAATTGAGCTGTTATTAATAGATGACAATAGCAGCACTACAAGACAGAAGAATTGGTGAAAAATTGGCAAAAAAGATCTAATTCTACAAGCAATTCCAATAGTAAGGAAAGTAAGGGTGGCTGAGGTCAGTTCTTCCAAATATTCAGCTACAGGCATTAGCAAGGGGCCCATCTTCTAGGCTGTTGCTGGTTGAATCATTGCTTCTGCTTCCAGTGCAAGGTCAGACTTTGCTTGGACTCTGGGCATCTCCAACAACCTGTTGCCATGTGCATCTGTTTTTAATTTATTTTCTTTGAATGTTTTCTGCGCCACTGTACTGTGTGTGCTTTTCAGCTCATTCTGCTTGTATGAATCAAAGCTTAAGGCTTCGTGTGTGTTTTTGGAGATACTGCTGAGAAATTAGCCTGCAGAAGATGTTGGCTGTGCTTTTTTTTTTTTTTTTTTTTTGTAAAGGAAATTATAACTGACTTTGTTTTTGTTTTGCTTTTAAATAGGCATCAGAGTTAGGTCAGACATTAAATGAAAATGTTCTCAAACCTGCACAGGAAAAGGTAACTTTGGAACTAGTAAATTACTTGCAGAACATGGTTATGATGACTTAGGGAGTGATTGTTTCCTCCTGCCACAACTACCCAGTTTGTCAGTGCGTCCTTCTGTTTTTTCATATACTAACACAGTAGCAAAGGGGAAACCTCAAATAATTCAAAGCTAGTATGTTACGAAAGAAAGGTTAATGAGGGTAACTGCCCTACCCCTATCTTTCCCATGGCCACCAGAGTCTGTTACATTCATGCCCATTAGATACTATTTTATAAATGTCATGTTTTCAATAATGGGAGACAAGATGAAAATCCTAAATGGATATAAAAGTCAGTTATGAAAAAAAAAATGTTGTAGTAGTGTCTTTGGGTATTAAGTTCATAGTGTTTTATCCGTCTGCCTGCTAGCATTCAGCAAAGCATCCTTGAGCCGCTGTAGTTCATCTGCTGCCTCATCGGTGCAGTAGAATTTGGGGCAAAGTATATGTTTAAGACGAATGGGGACAATTTATCAGTAGAATTAACATGTTCTTGCAACCTTTATTTGGTATTCATTCAGGGTTTTCTGGTAGTCAGTTAATACCAAGTTTTGCATGTATGCATATGCAAAGAGTGGTATAAAGTAACATTTTGATGAGATGTTCTAGTTGCTGTGTGGTTTCCAGGAAACTAGTTTGAAGCAGACTTTCATCTTCTTTTTACAATTTTTGGTGACCAAAACTATGTGGCTAATGGCACTTCCAGCAGCAGCTGGAAGAAAGCACACATGCTGACCTGAGTAAATACAGAAAGTCACTAGTGGGCACATAAAAAAGCAAGGCAGTCCTCCTAAGTGACTGGTGATCACTGATACTACAAACTTTAGTCAAAGATTCTCCCTAGTGTCAAATGTTGCTTTCCTGTTTCATATGTTTAAAAAAAGTGTACTTTTACATCTTCCCATTTGGCATGCATTTGTTCTGTGCTTCTAGAATTTTGGATCAGCTCCAAAATTTTGATGAAGTCTTTTCTGCGAATGTGGTGCTTTACTTACCTACATACCTTTTCCCAAAATATATTGTTTTTGGTAAAGCAGACTAATTTGGCTCTTGTAAGAAAAGCAGTGCCACCATTTTGGTATATGGATTAATTTTCAATTTGAAAAGAATGGTTTAATCACATTACAAAATAATTTCTCTTGCATTACCTTTATTAATTTAACATTCTTTACACAGCATTTCAGATCACAGGAGAAGACTCTAATTGGTTTCCTATTCCCTAGAACTATCCCCAACTTATTTCAGAGTGCTTAGATGCATTATTTTCAGGGTTATTTTTAGGGTGCATTTCCTTGAGCTGATTTTTATTTTGTAGGACAATTTAATGAGGAATGTTGCATTCTATATTTAAAGAAAAAAAGAATCTATTTCCCTCAGGATGTTGTGCTGTTAGTTCTAAATAAGTGTTACTTTCTGAAGTAAGTATTCAGTGATCACTGCCTGGCACATACATGATTATGTAAAGTCACTTGCTTTGGAACAGCTGCCATTTATTAATTGGTGAAAGGCACCAGTTGTATTCTGATTGACCAAAGTTCAAAACCCTTTTAATATTTAAATAAGCATGCATAGGTTTTTAATGTCTCCAAATCAAATCTTCTTATATAGTAAAATATATTTATAAAATGTCACGTTTGCAGAATTTTTTTGGTACTGGTGTTTTTATGCTAAGCATTAGTGTAATGATGACTTCCTCAAACTGTATATCAGTAGAACATTCCTGCAAAGGACTGAGATTCACGCCATTACAGATCAATGGACTTTATATGTAATTTTCTTTGTTAGTTTTGACATCAATGTATTTTGATTGACTTTCTGTTTGTTTTTTTTTACACTCTTTGTTTTTAACTGTTAAGCACAAGTAAGCTTGTCTTAAGGTTTCAGTAATACTTTGACTAATTACCAATACTTTGATTAACATAGGTGAAAGAGGGGAAAATATTTGAGGAGGTCACCGTGGGGGTATCACAGTTGGCCAGCAAGGTATGAAGTGGCCTGCCTGCCTTTAAGGAGGCCAAACAGTAAGCCAGTCTCCATATTCTTATGAAAAGTTTGTAGTGAAACAAAACCACAATGCAGCTATAGTCTCTGCTTATGTTGAATACAGAAATTTTGAAAGTGTAATTTCCAGTATGCAGTAGTTCTGTTGCAGTGTTAAAAACCTATATGGGTATGCTGTAGTCCTCGTAATAGTTCGATTGAAGGCATGATATAGAGTTATAAGACAGCCAGTGTCTTGGACACAAGAATGTCTGGTAGAGAATATGGAGACAGCTTGCGTTACATTTGTGTTGTTAAACTTACTAATGTTGTGTACCTTTTTTCTTTGTCTTCTTTTGCTGTCATTGCTTGGTAACGTGGTAAGTGCAGTCTGCAACTGCTAAGCACAAAAGTCCTGCACAATGTTACCTAGGAGGGTCTGTCTTTCTAACACTGTGAAAGTCAACACTGGAAGCTCTTATTGTGTAGCAACTTAGTCCCTTAAATGTTGGGAATATTTGAATAAAATAAGTTATGTTACCTGTTCTGTGTAGAGCCTGGCAACTTTACATCTGAATTCTGATTTTTCTGTATCTGTGATGTAGAATAGTAACTTCTGTGGGTGTCACTTCTGAATTTGTGTTTCTAATCCAATGTCGGTCCATTATAATACCTGCCAAAGGATTCTCCTAGCAGTCATGTTTATTCTAAAACTCAACTTTTAGCCTGTTATACATGGGCAGTGAAATAACACTACTGAAACAGGGTGAAAGTCATTTCGGAGAACAACAGAAATATAAATACTAGTTACGTGAATCATAACATCAAAACATCAGTGCTTTCATTCAGTTTAATTTTATGTAAGGAGTAATTCCAGCGTTTTTTGTCAAGGAAGTCCAGGACATTGTTCAAAATCTGTTACTGATAACGATGGGTGAAAAAGCTAAACTTGACTTGCTTTTCACATCTTCCAGCAGCACGATACTGTCAAACGTGTGTTCTTTACATACTGTGTAATTGTCCGTCAAAAACATTAATGTGAGTGAAATTTTCTGATGAAATGTATTCTCTTTATCTGAACAAGTGGAGGAATGTGTTGTGGCCTTTGTTGAACTTGGAAGAGGTGTTGGTTCGGTCCAAATGAATGGAGTGTCTTTTTTTTTTTCTCTAGGTTCAGGGAGTTGGAAGTAAGGGATGGCGAGACGTCACCACTTTTTTTTCTGGCAAACCAGATGATAATTCTGAAAGGTATTTTTGTTATTATTTTATGTGTCTCTTTAAACACATAATTCTATCTCTTGTATGTTCTCTGCAGTATAGTAGTAGCAGGTAACTTTTAAATATGAAGAAATTATTCTGTCTTTGCTAGTAGTCCTCCTGTATGTAATACGGGAGGAATTAAATCTATTTGTTTATGATAGTTGTTAAAATGAGAACAAAATAGTGCACGGCACCTTCGTTTTAAAATTATTCCAAATGCATATCCCCTAGCCCTGGGCCTATTAGTACTTAATGTTGTTAACAAAAATCTGCGAATTCGAATATAAGCTTATGCCATTTGGAGCAATATATTTAGTTCTTCTGCCTTTATCCTCAGTTTTTGTTTAAGCAAAGGGCAGTAGCATTATCGTTTTCTTTCTTTGTGGTCATATTTATTGTTATGTTTGTCGTAATTAATTTATTTCTACCTTGCTTTTTCCACCCACCTCACAAAAGACCAGCTGAGGGCAACAGCTACCAGAACAGTGAAGGAGAGGGCTACCAGAATAATGCTGTAGATCAAAGCTTCTGGGAGACCTTTGGCAACTCAGATCCACCAAAAGCTCATAAATCTCCGAGCAGTGAGAGCTGGACCTATGTGGACAATTCCACAGAGAAGAAGAGCTCCGATAGCTGGGACGTGTGGGGCTCAGGAACAGTCTCCAACAACAAAAACAGTAACAGCGACAGTTGGGAAAATTGGGAGACCAACTGGGAAAACACAGGAGGGGAGAGCAAGACCAAAAAACCTCCTAAGGCAACAAAAAAGGCGTCTTCAACTGATGATGGGTGGGATAACCAGAACTGGTAGAACTCTGTTAACCCTGTTTTGCACAGCTAGGTAAGGGAGGCTATGCTGGCTGATTGAGGGGAGAAAGTTTTACACGCAACTGGAGTATCTTGGTTGACTTTATTGATCTGTTACTTTTGTGCTTCCCATTTATTCTCCTTTCTTCTATTTTGGTTTAGGAAAAAAAAAGTAGCATTTGAGTCTTACTACGTAAAGGTGGCTCTCCCTTTTTTTAAGGATAGTGATAACTACATTCTCCTTGCACTATTGAAGCTGGGTACGGTGACTTTCTTAATACAAACGTTCAAAGTCAAAAAATCAGTGCAAGCACCCTTTCTTGGCACAACCTCGCATGTGTAGGTTGATAGGTATTCATCCAGTCCTCGTATAATTTGAGATGAACTGAGGTGTTTAATGCAAACAAGGGGCAGGGTGTGTCTTGAAAAGATAGCCATTAAATAAGCAAACTGCAGTTGAATAGATCTAGTTCAAATGCCTTATGGATTGCTCTGACCATATTAAATCTGGCAATTCAAAATAGTCTTTAAGATATTTTTATTCAAGCTTTGTTTTTAAACTTTATAAGATTTTTTTTTTTAGTCTTTTGAAACTTATTTTCTCCCCTTAGAATTAATTAGGAGTCTAGAGCTAGAGAATTATTTGTGTGAACTCATTGTTTTGACCTGAGCTATCAAGGGATATCCAGAATGGCTCTACTTGCCCTTCCTGCTCAGTGGGTTAAGAGCTTGTACAGTGCAGCTCTCCTACACAGACAAAATGCAAAGCTGTGGTGTTCTCCTTCCTTACCTATGCCCTTCCCCCAGTTTGAGTATTTTATATAGTCTGTTTTTTTCTCCATCTTTCTTCCTTCTACCCATCTATTTTATCTCTTCTGATAAAAATGAAATCTTTCTGCTGCTTATGGCCTTTTGGATGTCTGTTTGGCAACTTGGCAATGAAACAAATTTATGAAAAAGATTCCAGTAAGAAAAAATGGGTGGAAAATATGAGAACATTGAGGAGAGAGGCTGGCAGCAAGCCCCTTTCGAGATGAGTAGATGTCTGGATTTAGTAAAATTTAAATTAAGCAGATGTTTTCCAAATTAATCTTTAATGTGTCAGACAGTATCTCTGTTTCTATCATGTATTTCTCCACGTTTTCTGCCTGGATCTTGTTAAAGAAACACTATTTCGGAAACTTTAGAAACTCCTTCTGAGCATTAAGGAATGGAATAGAAGATTCAATAATGTCTCAGTTTTGACCCAACAAATTGCTTTGCATGACACAAACCATAACTTCCACAGAAGAATTGTGATTTTGGCGACAAAGGTGTCCTATGTATCCCATTTTATTTTTGAGGGTGGGTGTAAATGTATACTCAGCCTGAAAACAATCAGCTTGCTTGAAAACTTCAAATCATGATGTTGTTGCATAGTCTGCTTTAGTACCAGCATGGAGTTCCTTACTGTGGACCCTGTAAATCTTAATACATACCTAAAAAGCCTATCCTTTTAAAAGTCAATTAATTTGTTCAAGCAAACAACCAACCTAAGTTGTCAAAGTTACCTTAAATAATGCTTCATTTCTCTTTCTCTTCACAGAGGTTTTTGAGCTTATAGTAGTATCAAGAGGTTAAAAAGGAAGGAAAATCATGAGTCACCTCAAAAGTAGCAGATTTTAAAGGCTTAAGTCTAAGTAGAAGTAGCTGTTTTTGTAGCTGGATTCTGTATTTCTATTAGTAGGATCTTTCAGATGGCAGACAAAGTATTTTTCTAGTCTTCTCTAGCCTTGTCCTGCAAGAGTTGGGATTTCTTCCCCGCCCCCTGCCCCTTCTCCTGATAGTGTGGCCTCTGAAGCTGGTGCAGCAGGATCCAGTGCCGCTCACGACCCAAGCACTGCTCTAGGCTGAGCCATGCGAGGCACCCGGGGTGTTCTTGCTGACACACTGACCCTTTGGAAGTACCGAAGGCACGCGAGATCTCAGTTTACAATGCTGCTTGTGGTACCATTGGCAGATGTTTACAGCCTGACTGTAAAACCAGGATTTTGTTCTACTTTTTCTCCAGTTCAAAATATACCTTTGTCATAGCTTAATTGCATGTCAAATGTAACTTTGTATTTTTATGCATACACCTCTGTTGCCTACTTGTCATTTGTCTGCTGCCAAGTATGGAACTGTAATGCATGTCCTTTGGAGGCGGTGCTGTGTAATGTCCGTGAAGTGGCACTGCCCAGTCCTTGACTAACGGTTAGTCTTTGTGAAGTGTTGCAGTAATGGCAACAGCAAAATGCATCCAGTGGGTTGCACTGTCTGACTGCTGGTGTCTGTCTGGAGTGATGTGAAGCTGATAGAACTTCCCGTGTACAAATGTATTACAGTTTCTCTTTCATAAACCTCCTAAAATAGCTCATAGCAGGATAAGCTTTATTTCAGTCCATTCAGTCACCAGTATTGTGATGTATATGCATACATTCTCCTCAGGTCTGTGGTTTGCCTGGGAGAAAACTGGTTTGTTTCTGTATCACTTGCAGCTACCCTTGGCATGAGCCATTTGTTTGTTCTTCTGGTTTTATTTTTTTATCTCTTGAAACTTTACGTTCTAAATTAAACAAAACAGCCAGAGCCCTACTCAGGCAGAAGCTTTGGGTAATGATTTTTCTTCCAGTTGAGGGGACAGCAGCAGACAGTTGCTGTCTCTTTTTTTTCACAGTGCTGTAGAGAGGCAACAAAATGCTACAACTCCCAGAAAGGTCTTAATGGAAGATACTAAACCCCAATAGAATGGCAGAAGATGTTAACTGCAGCCACAAAACTAGTATAGCAACTGGTCTCAGTGTGCCAGGCAAATTGGTATTTTTTTATGACTTATCTGAATCTGAACATTTTACTATGTCTTCCAGAGGAGAGAATGAAATGAGAGCATTTTCTTTTGCAAAGCCTCTGTTTTATTGGATTTTACTTTTTTTAGCGTAGACGGCTAGGAAGTTTCTGCAGTTTGGTGGAATGCATGCAATTGAGGCGCATGTATGGAGCGAGTGTTTATGAATTAGACTTTTTTATATTCCTCCTCCTCACCCCAAATCCTCTTTTTTTTGGCCTGATGGGGAGCACTGTAAACAGAGGCAGTGAGAGCAACATGCTGGAGCTGAGGTCACCTGTCTAAATGCCAATACAGCCGTTGAATCTGAGCGAGCGTGTGGTTTGGCAAGGCTTTAGTGTCACCATGTGCTCCACCTGTTTGGTGGATGAAGAGGGCTCCTCTGCCTTTAAAGCCCACGCCGTGTATTAACAATTTTAAGTCATACAAGCAAATTGCTGGGAGAGAGGGCAGAAGGTGAAATGGCTACTGCAACAATTGGGCATTGCAGTGTTTGGTTCAAATTTCCTGGTGTTTCAGCCTGGTTTATTCCTTTGTGTGGCTTCAACTTTGGAAAATGCAGAGCAGCTGGATTCCTACAGGTAACCTGAAATAAGGAAAACTTCAAGACATTCAAACTAAGTGCTACTTGCAGAAGAGCGAAAGTCTTAGAAAATGTTCCTGAACTAGGAACCTAATCCTCGGAGTTAGGGATTATTTTAAAATGTTTTATTTGTGTCTTGAAACCTGTTAATAACCATAACACTTCAAGAAATGCTTGGCCAGCTCTCCGTTATAGTTGAGACCTCAAGGATGCTGCTGCTGCTTTTATTTTCCAGGCCAGACTGTGTAACATTCCATGGGTTCATAATGTATTTATCAGTGTAATGATCTGTGCAATAATTTAACAAGTGTAGGTAAAACCTTTGTTGTTTAATCCAGGATACTTTTAAAGATACAGTGGTCCTCTTGGAGAATAGCAGTCTGCCGAGGTATTTCAGTTATCACCTTACTTTGGCAATATTAAATTTCAGTAATCCTGTTAAGGAAGTCTTGAGCAATCAGTCATTTAGACAGAAATCAAGAAACATTTTGATGTCCGTTATTAGAGTTTGATTGTAATGGCTTAGTGACCTCTACTTCTAGAGCCCTTGTTCATTTTCATACCAGCAGAAACTTGGTCAGTATGGAGTACTGTATCTTTAATTTTCCTGGTGTGTTTTTTGTGAAGTTCACAGGAATGGCAATTTCAGTGAACACTATTCATTGTTTTGTAGAGTGGTACCGGACTTGAACTGCAGTGTCATCTTTTAAAGAGCATTATAATAAAGCAAAGAGATACAGAGCAGAACGGTGTTTAGCCCTTTTTCAGGAGACTTCAGTTAATTTTAAACCCGTGTGCATTAGTATAGCTTACGTGGCCTTTTGAATGAAGAAATTAGTTCTTACTGTGGTTAGCATCAAAACTCAAAATGGGATGCTTCATAATTAAGAAAGTAGGAAGGTATTGTTACAATACAAGTATGAAATTGTCATTGTTGGAGGAGAGTGACTGACATTAATGACACGAATGTATGTCCTGGTGTGCTGGCCTCATGTATGTTCTTCACTGCCAGTAAGGAGGGAGAAAGGAAGCTGCTAGTGTTGACAGAGCCAAAACCAGGTGTATTATCTTTCATAGTATTATGAAATAGTATAGTATAGTATTAGTTTCATAGTCTAAATGCTAATTTAAGATCTGTTTGAATTAAGAACAGTTTTAAGACAACATTGCTTGCCTCCTTTATTTAAAGAGAACTATAAAATAGAAGTTCAAGTGGTTGCAAATAGGTTTATGTACTCTGTGATTTTTATTGGCTTGTCTACAAAGGCATTTATCACAGGAGAAAAAGGTAACTTTTGAAGCAGTTTTCGTTTCCAAGAAGCGAGGTTCCTCTGACGAATCCTTCAGCTGGTGGTGATGCTTCACATTCAGATTCCTGTTTCCTTCTTTAGCCAAACAGCCACGTGAGTACTGCACTGAGCTCTGTGAAAATTTAAAATACCTTTTGTTATGTTCTTGGTCAGGAGGACTAAATCCTACTTGCTTCATAGAGGTAATGTTACTGATTTTTTGTTTGTTTTGGTTTTTTACACAAAAAAGTGGACATTTGGGTTGGGTAATATCACTGGTATTACTCCACTGATAGATGCTGTGTCCGTTCTTCCCATAATGTCCCACGTTAAGGGCTGCGCTGTGAGTTGGATGCAGAGTTTTCAGCTGGTATTACTTCAAGTAAACAGGATGTGCTGGTTCTGGAGCGGGGTTTTTGGCCCTCTATTCTGACAG